TTTTGTCAATGCTTTCACTTGTATTCTGTGGAATTTCCTTTTACTAAAGATAGTGCCCGAAATCCACAACTGAAGGGAGAGATTTATTTGGTTCTTGGTTTCAGGACATTCAGTCCATGGTTGCTGGCTCCAAGGCAGGAGCATCAAGGCAGAAGGGGACAAAGAAACAGAGAGGCTTAGCTCACGGCAGCTCAAACTCACAGCATAGGAACAGCACCAAGGGCACTCCTGAACAGAGTCTAGGTCACACTTCACAACCCACCCAGTCACACCCAGAAATGTGGCCTACTAATCCCCTCTGTGGCTTACCAGCCAGTCAAGTTGATGCCATCAAACTTAGCTGTTACAAAGGCTTATCACTTTTTTGGGTATTTCTCTGTGCTCAGCTCTACCCTAGTGGAAACACCTGGAAATGCAAACATCCAAATAACACCCAGGCAGAATACTGTCTAGAATCCTTGGCCTGGTTTGGCTCCATTAAAAGGCCATTCACTATTAGAGTGGAGAGGGATAGACAGGAGGGGAGAGGGGATGGGGAAGAAGGAAAAGGTCCTCCACTTCTGTCTGCGCCCCTGGTTTTCTCTCTAAGGGCTCCCCCTGCCTGGGGGCATTTGGTCCTGTAAAGATCTGGTTCTTCTGAATCTTCTGTGATCTGAGGAGAGTCCTGCCTCTGGTTTTCAGTAGCTTAGTGACAATCTTTAAAATATGTGTGACAAATGCCAAAGGTTAAAATTGGATCCATATCCTTCACTATGCACTGCACTAAATTTGAAATGGATCAGAGATCTAAATATTAAAACAGAAACATTAAATCTGCTGGAAGATAAAATAGGTAAACCTCTTGAAGACATTGATGTAGTCAAAAACTTTATTAATAAAATCCCAATCACACAGGAAGTATCACAAAGAATCAATAACTGGGATATCATCCTATTTAAAAGCTTTTACACAGCAAATGAAATCACCAACACAGTGAAGAAACAACTCACAATTTGGGAAAAAAATGTTTTCTAGCTGTTTCTCAAAGGATTACTACAGCAAACATATAAAGAACTCAAAAAAATCAGAACTCACAAATTTAAAGATCCCATCCAAAAATGGGCATCTGAGATGAATACATACTTCTCAGATGAAGAAATATAAAAAGCAAATAAATATATGAAAAAAT